CATAATTTCATATTGATCTGATGATGAATTTATGCTGCAATAGTCTCCAACCGAAATGGCATTCTGCTCTGGAAAGTAAATAGAAAAATCTTGTTTATTTATTTAAAAATAGCACACATTTTGAAATACTTTAAATTCACTAAAATCCACCCACCAGCAGAACGTTTTTATGAAAATATCTGCATCAAAAGCTGAAACTCAAACAAATGCACAAACGACTCTTTTTCTTCAATCACTGTCTATATTATTAGATTATGAACAATGAATGCGTCAGAATCATAGAAAAAATGCCAAAATACATTTTAAATGTATGTTTATTTGAATCATTGAATATTTCAAGCAACTTTTTTCAATCGTGTGGCTTGAATAGAATATAAACAGGCGACATTAACAGCTTCTCTGTGAGCCAGGGCTACATACTAGCCAATACACATTGATGTTCTGCAATAGTAACTCGATGCATTGATCAAAATAGTATGTTTTTTTTATACTTTTGGTCTATGTTGTTGGAGCAAGTGCTGTTTTAAAAATTTAACGAATATCAGTTGATTATGTAGTTAGGCCAAGAGGTGTCTTTCAGGAATAAATTATAGACCTTATCAAAATGTTTACACTTTGTGGAAGAGTTACATTATAACAAGTAGACGGTCCATATACGTTGATCACTTTTTCTGTTTGAGGAAATGCACCACTTTTTTTCTCAATTAAATCACCGCAATATACACTTACTTAATCCATATAAAAAAGTTAAAAAAAATGATAAAATTAGTGAATTATTTCAAAATTTTGCTCTTTTAGGACGTTGTTTCTTTCATCATAAATGGAAAGAGCATAAAATGTTAAGCCAATATACCCGTCCCGTAGCGTGACTCTATTGGGCTCTCTAAAAAAACAGCGCACCCTTTTGGGGATCTATAGTTTTCTATGCAGAAAGTTGGCATTACTGCATCAGAATAAATACTGCATGAGGGCGCTGTGTACATGCGCATCCCAATATGTAAATAAAAAATTCTTCTTCATTTCATATTTTTTCGTGTTCACACCGACATGTTTATATTTGCATTAATGATAAAATAATAGAAAAGAATTCAAAAATCGAACAAATGTCTAGTGATATAAAAATCGCTAATGTTTGGTTTTTAATATGATTTCGCAATATTTCGCACAATTCCACAATTTCACAATATGTTGTAATCAATATGGAATCTTGTGAAATCATATGACAACAAAAAAAAGTGTCCATAATTATAACAGCGATGACATTAACCACAGACATTTTTATGAGTTTTTTAGAGGAAAAATATGAGCTGAATTAAATTTAAATTTTGCAATCATTCATGAATGGAGTGTACAATTATTCAAAATATTTTAAAATATGAATCTAACTGCATGCCTCCAAAATAATGTTCAAAAAAACTACGATTTAGAAAACAAACGGAATATTTCAGAAAAATTATTTTCTTTCATCCCAAGCGCGACTCCACACTTAGCTTCTAAATGTGACACCTTGGTAAGTGTGAGCATTCGTCGTACGAACAAGCAATAAAGAGAGTGAAAACAAGTGCGCGTGCATTAGTCGCTACATTGAGAAGCATCGCATCAGGCTGCTCACTAACACACGCGAACTTGTTTCCATTCTCTTTGTCGCTTATTCGCAAAACGAATGCTCACACTTACCAAGGTGTCACATTTGGAAGCTTAGTGTGGAGTCGCGCTTGGGATGTTGGCAATGCGCGTCAATGTCGCATCCCAAGTAACCAAGTAACCAAGTTTGCTTAAAAAATAGAATTAAAAGATTCACACTTCAAATATAGCTGTCATCATAAACTTAACGAAAATTGAATGTCAGTGCAAGCGATGGGTGCGTTCAATGCCTTCAGAACAAAATGATCCGAAGTGTAAATCTTTTAATTCCATTTTTTGAGCAAACCGCTCACTTTTCGGTGCAGATATTTTATTTATAAGTTAGTTAGATCCAAATGAAGATTTAATACAAATTTCTGCGATACTGGTGCGAAAAAAGTATTCTTTTTCGCGTAGCGCGAATAAAGCCGCGAATAAAGCGATCCGCCCAATTTCATTGAAACAAGTGGTACATTTCTGTTAGAGTATTGTGGGAAGATGTTAATTTTATGAATTTCTGCAGTGCACAAGAAAAAAAAGGTTGTTTGTACGGTGGGCTCTTGGTCTATCGAAACTGTTGAGAAATAATTTGTGTTTAATTCCAATGCATAACAATTTACGAATACTTTGATAAAATTAATGCTGACATATGAATGTCCGAGAATGAAAATGCAACTTCTATTCACAACACATATAAGTGAAACAAAAATGAAAAATTTATTGAAATGAAACAACAAAATCGAATTTTTTCAAAGTGTAATAACAAAAAAGATTTTTTTAAAGTGTAACATCGGTATGTAGTAAGTGTAACAACATAACGATGTTACACTTTAAAAAAATCTTTTTTGTTGTTACACTTTGAAAAAATTCGATTTTGTTGTTTCATTTCAATAAATTTTTTATTTTTGTTTCACTTATATGTGTTGTGAATAGAAGTTGCGTTTTCATTCTCGGACATTCATATGTATATACCGATTGCCCATTATTGACTAAGTTGAAAGAAAAAAAAATGGAAAAAATAAACCAGATTATACAGATAATGATGCAAAAAGTTCGGACTAGTTATACGGAAAACTTGGGCAAACGAATGCAATTCTTTTCATTAATTAATGCTTTCAAACAGCAAACATATTAAAAGCTTCGTATGGGGACACACGTAACACGATAATTATTCAGTTAATCATTGTTCTTTCTTCAAGGAAATTTAATGAATTTATAGATGGAAATTTTTTATTTGTATCGCTCTCAATTTCCATATTCTCTCTGTCCGATTGTTGTACCATATATGTATATATATATATAGAAGTGGGAAGAGAGGGAGCGACAGTGAGCGAAGAATTAAGAGTTGCTTCATTTTGGACTAAACTTTTTGAATTTAACTCGCCAAAAGAATTATGGAGGAAAACATGATAATATGCACATTTGTGGCTTTAGTTTGTGTAATATAATGAACTAAATTTCGGCATATAATATGTAGAGCGACTAGCAGTGTGTGTGTTCATGTGTGTGCAAATGTGAATAGAAGACGTGAAGAAAATGCTGTGGGAAGAGAGACAAAAGTTACGTATTTGTGTTACCACTTATTTGCTTATTTTCATTCGATTTGGAATGTCCATCACGAAAGAGGCATTGAATATGCTACGGTGAAAATGCACTTAACAAATTTGAAGAACCAAAATCGTTCAAATCGATTCGTAATTTTGTATTTCAAAGCGACTTGTATTGCATTCGTTCTCTTCCTCTTTCTCTCTAACCGTACCCCAACCGCAGTGCAAATGCTAATAGAAGACATGAATAAATTTTCAAAGAAACGATCTTTTGAATTGCTTTCACATTTGCATGAGTGATGGTTTATATGTGTTTGGCAGCATCGCTGTTCAGCAATATGTTTTGGATTTTGCAGTAAACGATGACATATGCATCGTAAAACCAATCGCTGGCACACTCAGAGAGCTTAAATGAGACGGAGAGAGAGAGAGAGCGGGTAGAGTATGGCTGGGTACGTAATTCATTGGTGGCACATGGTGTAGAACAACATCACAAACTATTTTACGTCCGCCGCACACTAATTAAAAAAGTTTAATTAAAATCATCTCGCCATACTCAACCGGCGTGCGCGCTCCATTCCGCTCCCGCTCGTTTTTGCTCACTCGGTCGTCCTTTGCACTCATTTATTCGCAATCATGATGCACACGAGCGTGTGTGAATGTATATGTAATTTGTATTTGTTACGAGAGCGCCTTCTTTCGCATCATCTCGACTCATTTTTTCTTACTTCTTCTCTTTCTCCGTTTGTTAAAGTCCTCTTTTTTCCTACAATTTCTTCTGTAATTTTATTGTTCGTATTTATTTCTCTTCCATTTTCACAAGCGACATTCAATTTTTTTTAAATTTTCACGACAATTTCCTGATGAAATTTACTAATTTCGATTCGACTTTACTTCTTCACTCATTTTCATGGCGCGCGCGAGTGCTATTCTCTCTCCACTCTTACTTCCGACGACGACAACGCTTCTTCTTCTCTCTTTTTTATAGACATTAATATTCTACAACTCTCCCGGCAAGTGCATTTTTTAGCTGTCTCAATTCTAATTGATATAAAACATAATACACGGCTATAACAATAAAATGGGGAGTTGGTTCGTGCACTTGAAATTTCTTATATATTTGATGGTGTTTTTGTCAGTTTGGAGTTTTCCATCGAAATCCATCGCGTTTAAAACATTACAGCTTGTTATTCAAACTAAAATTTTCTCTGGCCATAAATTGATTCGCATGTTGAATTTGTGAAAATTATTCTGAGTCCACTTGGAATCTCAGTGAGACATTTATCAATTTGCATGTTTTATTGACACAAAGTTTGGCCATTTATTTATATATCAAAGATGTTTCAACCAATTTACAACTTTACATTACAACAATATTCTATTACATTGCACAGTCTGAATAACGTTTGAATGTGGCTTTGTAGGAAGGAAAATTATGGACGCTTTCGGGAAAAAATATAGCCTAGGTAGATAAATATGCCTAGATGGTGGTTTTCTTGACACTCAAAAACATGCAATTAGACTCATTGCTGTCATTCACCGCAATAGTGCTGTATTATAACAATCAAACTACTATCGCCATAGCCATAGGTCATCACGTATATGGATTATCAATACATTCAAATTGCCACCCACACCTAAAAAAATTCAGTTGATTTTTCATTAAGAGTGCATTTATCGTAAAGGAATCTTAAGAGATTGAACGTTTTATGTTCGTTATTCAGAACGCAATTGAATAAATTTTAAACAACACACATTTCCGGTCATTTGAATAAAGTAAAAAAAATCCTTTGAAAATTGGTTCTAATCAATGAATGGGCTTATTTTCAGCCAGCAGGAGACAGTTGTATGAATAAAAGAAACGGTGAAAATATTGGTATTGGATACGGTAGCAACGGTGGTCGTTCGAATGGTGCATCAAATTTTGGTGACAAGGATCAGCAACACCAGCACCAGCACCGGCAACATCACAATTACAATGTAAATCAATTGTTGCATGTGCAAAATCAACAGCATCAGGTAAATGTTGTGAAATTATCATTTCAATCCAGAAATGGAAATGTAATTAAAATAAACTAATGGACAATTGATCTTGATCTCTGTGAGTATTTTCGACGGCATTGTCTGCCCAAAGAACAAATTTTGGGATGGCCGGTGTCAATCGAAATATTCGTGGGGATCATTCACTACTCTTTTCTCTGTAGACGCAACAGCAAAATCATCGTGACAGTGGCTATGGAAGCAGTCCAGACTCGGAGACCAAAATCACTGAGATCGACTCACATGTGCATTGACAGCAAATTCGGTATAGAATCGAATACAACTAGTCTAAGGCTCGACAAACTCCATAATTCACACAGTCAACGATTAGTCGCGAAAAAAAATTAAATCTCCATACAACAAATTGTGTGCAATATCTCAAATATGTGGTTAATGAATTAAACTCACTACAAAAAAAATTGGACATCCCGCTTTGAAGATGAGCTATTTCTTGTTTTAGTTAACCCTCGAAGGTGAACTAGATCTACTGCAATGAATGCAATAATTTTCCACGTAGATAATTGAATAAAATTTAAAACACCGAATTCTTCATAAAATACAAGAGAAATGCAATAATCTCAGAACAATTAAAATATTTGTCAATCAACAACACGTATCTCATTTTGAATTCAAACAATTATTATTTGTTATCAAATTTTAGTTTTCACACACATTCCTGTTTATGACTTTACCACCGCCTGCCGTAGACTAATAGTGTTAAAAAAAAAAGAAACGAGGACAATTTGACGATTAAATATGGCCCTTGAAGCATTACGATCCGACGTACGGTTCACATTATACAGGCGTTTGAATGTTGCCCGCCTTTCGGCGGTGGTATGCACTAGAAGGTTGATGGTAAACGAACAGTTTGTGTTCAACTAGACGTTATCACAGATAACCCTTTTTTAGAAACTCAATGACCACTCATAGAAAAGTAGCCGTCGGAGTGCACGATCTGTTCACGTTACGTTAAGGCATACACATACAACTGCGTTAACGTGAAAGGAGTACAGCAATATATCATGTGCTGTGATACAATATATCGCTGTACTCCTTTTACGTTAACGCAGTTGTATGTGTACGCCTTAACGTAACGTGAACAGAACGTGCACTCCGACGGCTACTTTTCCATGAGTTAAAAAAAGAAAAAGGAACATACTGGAATTCAACCAACTATATATAGTTTTGATAAACGGCTTGAATCTTTGGAAGAATCTCCATTCATTTTAAACTATGAAACAATTATAATCGATAGTATGATTTGTATCGATCTTAGTTGATATATATTTTAAGCGATTCAAGCCGGCATAGAAACTCAAACAAAACGAATTTCTAGTCAAAAAAATATGTTTATATTGAATAGAATGTTCTGTTTGAGTAAGAAAATTTGCTTGAAATTACACTGTAAATGATATAGAAATATCAATTATGAACACAATAACAGCAACCAAAATCAGTCACTTCAATGAAATCCATTTCGTTGCGGGCGGTTCTTCTTATTGAAATGATGAAGGTGTGATTTACTTGTAAAGGGAAATACCGATATTAAAATAGAGTGCAGCTGTAGTCTGGAACGATAGCAATATCATCAAGAGAATTGGATGGAAGTGGCATTTCTATTATAGTACAATGCAAAATGGATTAGAATGTTTGGTTTTTAAAAGCTTTAGACTGAAGCTTTGGCCAACTTTCTTTATTTACCAGGGTTAAAAGTGAGTGAGTGGGAGGGAGGGAGGTAGAGAAATTGTTTGATTGTTAAAAGAGCTTCGACACAACGAACATTACTATTGAATCCATGAATCCATTGGTGACGCATTAAAAAATCATTTTCAATGATTTTAAATATATTTGATGCGTAAAGCAAAACAAAAGTAAACAATTCAAATTATACACACACACAAAAGAAATTTATGACAAATCACTGAATGTCATCGCAAACCGAGATAAACAATACATTTAATGTTGTTGACATATACAAATGCGATGGATTTCATCAATAGATGTCAGCACCATTAAGTATATGGTTTATCCCGGTTTGCGATCACATTTAGAGGTTATATTTTCTCTGTGTATGCACGATATATATATATATATATATATAAATTTAATGAATATGCATTTATCATTCTGTAGTACAGAATCTGTACATAAAAATTGAAGAAATCTGCAACATTTCAGAAAGGTGATACTCAGTAAGTCAGAAGCACCGTCAATCAAATAATAACCAAATAGATGCAGAAAACCATTTCTTCTAGCACAATAACCAAGCCACTGAACACTACCCAGATGATCTCAACAAATATAGATTTTGAGCTATATTTTTTGTTTGTATTTAGAAAAAAACTGATTTTTTTTGTTAAACATACAATCGAAAATGATCTCAAATTTTGTTTTTGTGATTGAACCAACTATTGAAATTGAAATAATATTTCAATGATCAACACATAAGTTAAGATAAATAACAAATAAGCTTGATTGGAAAATGTCACAATATTCTTTCACTGTTGCAAACAGGTCGAATGTTCATTTGAATCATCATGATGATGATAATGAAATGTGTCATTAAGCTTGTGACATAAACCAATATTTTGCTAATCAGTTTCAACGAGAGAAAATGATTATTTTGGGAAATGCGTTGAGAAAAAGAGACATTTTTCGATTTTCCCCTGTATATAAACTTGAAATTAGAACACAGACTATCCACATAATACGAGACTAATTCACTTGAAAAACAAAAAAAAATACGCATATTGTTTATTAATGTATTAGTATTTATGAATAAACAAACTAAAAACAGAATGCAAATAAACTTTAAATGATGATAAAATCATAGTGTCTTTTATTTTTATTACGGACATGAACAAATACTCAATAAAAAAAACTACGCTACAAATATACCGCGTGTATTCCCTGCGCACGCTACGTTTATACCATTCTCACGCTTATGCTTATTTTATACATAGTTTGATACAGAGTCGAAGGTATATTTAAGGCATATTTTTAGCGTGAATCGCATGCAAAGCATACGGATAGAATACGCTAAGTCTAAGTATTCTATACGTATGCTTTGTATGCGGTACACGCTAAAAATATCCCTTAAATATACCTTCGACTCTGTATTAAACTATGTATAAAATAAGCGTAAGCGTGAAAATGGTATAAACGTGGCGTGCGCAGAGAATACACGTGGTATATTTGTAGCGTAGTTTTTTTTATTGAGTACAAACTTATTACAAAATTAATTAAAAAAATGACTAGAATTCTGAACTTTCTGCAGACTCCTCAACTTAGCAACAGCACAGGGGAGGAGTAAGCCGGGTTTATACAGAGTCTTAATTTTTAATTCTCGACACTCCACATAGGATATTTTCTCAATTTTATAGACCTATGTGTATGATATCGGATTTTTTTTCTCGAAATTTGGCAAGTCTCTTCTGATTGTTCAAAAATCATTTCGTGGCGATTTCAATTTACTTTTTTTGCATTCTTCTACTAAGCACATCTCTTCAAAATGATTTTTTAAAATGGATATCAGAAGTTTTTCTCTCTGCTTTCGGTACAAGTATTGACTTTGAAAAGTTTTTTTCATTTGAAATCAGCTGTTTCGTAATAGAATTTTGGAACAATCCATTCTTTGCTCTTCAACACGAATGCGAAAAATTTGAAATCTCAACAAATAGTTCATTTTCCGCAATATCAGTTAGTTGATTTAGAAGAGTTGGCATCTCAAGACATTTCATTGATATCAACGCGAAATTGACTTTTATCAAGATTCAACTAATGCTGCAGAAAAATCAAAAATGATTTTTTTTCGTATGAAACTATTTGTCAGAAAATGCTAAAAACATTTGGCATAATCTCTGCGGCGTTTGATGCAAACTATCATTATTGTTCCATTCCATTGGAGTTTCACAAAAAATGTCGAAAATGAAAACAAAAATTATGGAAATTTAAGTCCAAACTCGTGAAACAAGCGCGTAGATTGACTACAAATCTGAAAAAAAAAATCCATGAAACCTTTGTTGGGTTTACAATATTTAATCCAATTGGAGTTTTCAAAACGATACGTAGACAAAAAAAAATGCTCAAACTCTGATTTAAGCCGGAACCAACACTTGGGACCAACAGTTCAAAACCTGTAGCTAAATGTGTATTTTATTTGCATGTCTATTGAAATAGAAGCTGAATGTATTTACCACTGTAAGTAAATTGTTTATTTCTTATTAATAAAATAGAATATCTTTGGAAAATGGAGTTGAGAGATTGTAAACGGATCCAATAAAGGTACAAAGAACTTGCATGAAAAAAACACAAATAAGTGCATAATAAATGAAATTAAATTTCAAAACAAATATCTTCCCAAGGAGCAATTGTTACCGCAAATACATCCATTACCAAGCGTATGTAAATGGTTGAATTAAGGCCCGCATTTGTGTGTAGTTTCAGTCATTTTTAACGTCACAATGGAAGTAGAAAAAAACGGTAAAACAAATCAATTAGAATGATATAAAAACGATTATGAATCTATATTCAATATGCTAATAAATAGTGATACTCAACTACGAGTTATTTTATATGATCCTACTAAGCCCCGTACTTTGGACAAGGCACAATACTCAAAGCCCAGCAAAGTAACAAAACGTTACAATTATTATTATTATTGTTTGAAAACTTAATCCTACATCAACTAAAAACTATTCTTCATCGGACACGTCGTCGAGAACGTAAACGTAGTCATCACCTTCGGCATTGCTTTGCGCAGCTGCAGCTGCTGCATAATGTTGTCTCGACAGTTGCGGATATATACATCCAAGCCCTTTATCATACAAAGACCTGAAACCACCGAAATCACAAACAACAATTGTTAGCCAGAATATTTCGATTCTTTTTCAATGTATGATACATACCTTTGTACAATATGCACTTGGCAGCGACTTCATCCCGATGCCAAACTGTGTTCTGCTGATGTGGATGACGTGAATCGTTCCAAGTGTTATCAGTGTTTAGCTGCCAGTTTTTGAACCATACATTGAGTTTCGGCACTAAACCATGTGAATACACTGGATCTGTTCATTCATTCGTTCATATTCCGCAACAACATGTCGTCGCTCTCGTTGATACAACCGGTTGCTTTTCTTGCCGATGATCACACTGCTCAGGTGTTTGTCAGTCGTGATATTTGCTGCATGTGGAATGCATTGACGGCAGACTTTGTAGCGGTCCTTTCTTGTACGTCGATCAAATGGCCGAAAGCACTTTGCACACGTCTGCGATGTTTTGTACTCGTCAACCATCACCACCACACAATTGTTCAGTTTCTTGAAACGTTTTGATGTTGTTCTTCACATTGGTGGTGTATTGGTTTATGAGCGCATTGAATGCGTTTCCCATGCCTTCACGTTGTGTCCATCGGAATTTCGGCACTACTGCTTCGATTATTTGGCGGAAGGCCAAGGGCAATTTGTGTCGGTTGTCATTCAAAATCGACTTAAAACATTCTTCGATCAATTTGTATCCATTGCCTCTGAAAAAGTCGTGGTTATCTTCGTCGAATGCTCGGTTGTTCTCGAAGAGAAACTACAATGACGCCAAAACGGTAATGACCGTGGCTGTGTGGCACCAATTGTTGACTTGTGCCACAAAATTCGCGCGGTATTGATCCCGGAGAACCGAATTCAGCGACAGTTTGACCGATCTCGGTCGCCCGTTCTGGGCTCGCTTTCTTTTCATGCTCACCAAAAGCTAATGCGAATTGAATCATGAAATTTATTATAAAATTTAAAAGGCTATCATGGCCATCATATGCCGCTTGAATCGCTACCATCGCCACAAACAAAACCGTTATGAGTCTGACTTTTTTCAATACAAAATGATCCGTAAACATCTTCTAATGAAAAAAGTTAGAATAAAATTGTAAATTCCATTTCTGAACACACAGTTTATTAAAAACAAATTATTTGCATCAATAAAACTTAGAAAAACTATAATTATTCCACTGCAAATGATTTCCATTTGAATTTGTTCGAAACTTCGCAATCAACAGCGCCATCTTACGTAAGTCAACGGATATATACTCCAGTCGCCATATTGACAAGTGACAAGTGTGTTGTCGTTTCACATTTCAAGTGGGAATCGTTTGCAGTGAAATAATTGTAGTTTTCCTAAGTTTTATTGATGCAAATAAAATATTTTTTATAAACTGTGTGTTGAGAAATTGAATTCACAACTTCATTCTAACTTTTTTTTATTAGAAGATATTTTTAGATTATTTTGTATCGAAAAAAATCAGATTCATAACGGTTTTGCTTATGGCGCTGGTAGCACTGTGAACTTATTTTTTCGTTCAACATCAACCGACTGAAATGATACCTAGCGGATATGCTGGCCCTTTAAATTTTATCTCACAATCCGCAATGGTCTTTGATCTAATGAAAATGAAAAATAAAATGGTGAACAAATTGATCAGAATTACTGCACTTTCGATCAAACAGTGACTAAATTAACAATTTGTTTTGAAGAAACAATCAATGAACCATCAATACAACAATCAACTTGCCTCAACGAATTCTGACACCAAACTGACCATGCAATGCTGAATTTCGAATATTGTGCTCTTGTCGTTGTGCAAATGTCCTGTTAGTCAAAAATCACAACCGAATCAAATGCAAAACTAATACAACAGCACAATCCAGAAAAATGTGTTGACAAACACTCAAAATCTCGTTTGAATCTCGACTCAAAGTAGATATTTCGCATCGTTATGAAATTCAGAACACAAAAACTGCACTGTTCTTCACGCAGCAACAGTAAGAGCTGTCAATTCGATTCTAACGGATTCGATCGCCACAGTCACACTTCGATTTGTTATGAAAATATTCTTGCTCCAGCACACACACACAAGAATGAAACGAACGAAGCGGAGAAGCATAGAGAGAGAGAGAATACACGAGAGCAAGAGTACACATAGCTATGTTACTTGAATGTTCTTTCTGTATGTGGTTCATTCTCACATTCTTTCTTTCGTATTTGTATATCTGCTGTACGGTCTGTATATATAACTTTCAAATCGACATTGAACCATAAAATACCGTTTAGCACATCAATTGTGAGTCATGCGAACGATTCGACGTGTGAACCATTCCTTACGAATATTATTGGCTGTCAAATAAACAGATGTTTACTAAATTCACATACAAACAAACAAATCGAGTAGTAGCAGTAGTAAAATACCATGCACAGAGTCAATCAATCAAGTTGTTTTGTTAAAATCGGTTGTGTTAATTTTGTGTATTTGTATTAGCCTTGAAACGTGCCATTGTTTTACTTTTGAAGAAAAAAAAATCCCATGAAGTTATGAAATTGCATTGAATGAAAAATAGCTGGATATTGATCGAAATCGATTGAGATTACTCCATTTGGATGGAATGTAGCCGGATTGTTTCTTGTGAGGGAATTGAAGCAGGGAACATGATCGGAAGTGAGTTTTGTTCAAGTGTTCTAATCACAAAATTCAATCTTTTGTTTACCCTATTGTCACATTATTAGATTAATGTATTACGTTTCGGTTTTATTCTGTTGCAGGGCGTGTGCGAGCTGGTTATATGTCAATAACGCGACAAAGCCAAGTTTTGAACCATCAAAGTGACGATATTGAATTTGAAAATGTGCCAAATGTTTGCAACGGATCAGCAACATCATCGAACGCTTCCTCATTAGAATATCTTCCGAATGCACCTAGTCCAATTACCTACACTGCTTACGGATATAAGCATTCAAACTTACGCACATATTTCTATCATGTCGTCTCCATCCTTTTTCTTGGCATTCCATACTTGATCTCCAATTCAAGTCTTCGGTTTTTCGTTTGGCTCAAATTGCAACCATGTGATTTGGCCGATTGCGAATGGGTTCTCGGTTAGTAACTAACATCGATTTTTGTCGTCATTTCAAATTCGATTCTATGTCAAATCCGACTAAATTTCGAAATCTTATCAATACGGTTTTTTTCCATTTCATATGTTGATAACAATTGAATAATCGTTTGAAAATTTCCACACAGTTACGAACAATAAAGGTAAAGTTTCGCTTGAACGTGTTCGGGTGATACGTCCAACTGCCGCTGCCATTGCCTTCTATTCGAATATTTTGAAGGAAATTAATCGAGAAAATGCATCGACCAATGAAATTCGAATCTTTGAATTTGAACACATACGATATATTTTCAACAATCATATCGATCAGTTTGTCAGAATGCGTCACCTTGATGAACTTTCGACCACAAACCAACTCATACATTCAAATCTTAGTTGTGTATCCAGCGAACAGCGTGACGCTTTGTAAGTGGTTTTCCAATTATCGACGCAATTAATAAATTTTTGGACTTTGAATAACAACGCTCTTCTTAACCCAAGCATATCCCATTTTTTTGCCTTTAATCTACAGAACACAATTATATGGACAAAACACAATTGAAATAGCTGTGAAATCCTATTGGGAACTCTTTCGGACGGAAATTCTCAATCCATTTTATTTATTTCAAATATTCTCGGTGACACTGTGGTGCTTTGATGACTATTACTACTATGCTGGTTGTGTTTTTATACTCTCAGGCATTTCAATTTACTGTTCGTTACACGAAACTAGAGCGGTGAGTTTATTTTCAATCAGATAAGTTGCCTAGAATTTAGAAACAATATCAAACTTTTCATTTCTTCAATTTAATTACAATTCTCAATAATATTTGTTCGTAGCAAATTTGTAAATGGTTATCAAATTTTAAATATGAAAAAAAAAACACAATTTCATTTGTCATTCACAGCAAAGTATAACGTTGCATAATGTAATCGAAAGTTTGAAAGCGGACGATATCGGTGTTATGAACGAATCCAATGACGTGGCCAACATTGCGTCTGATTCTCTGGTACCGGGTGATATAATTGTGATTCCAGTGGATGGTGGTATAATGGCTTGTGACGCGGTACTTCTATATGGATCTTGCATTGTGAATGAGTCAATGTTGACGGGAGAGAGTATACCAGTAACAAAAGGACCACCAACATCAAATGATGCACCATTCGAATGGATGTCTCAAAAACGGCACATCCTATATGCAGGCACCACTATTCTACAAACCCGTTACTATGGAAGTGAAAAAGTATTAGCAAAAGTGGTTCGCACCGGGTTCAACACATCGAAAGGTGAACTTGTCAAAAGTATTCTGTATCCACGTCCAATCGAATTTCGATTTTATGAAGATTCCGTTCGTTTTGTGTCAATGCTATTCGTTGTGGCTGCATTGGGCATGGTCTATACCATTCAAATGTACCAAGAACGAGGTGCTGACTTGAAGACAATCATTGTTAGAGCGTTGGATATTATCACGATAATCGTACCACCAGCACTGCCATTGGCTATGACTGCCGGTCAGGTATGTAGTCATTATAATACATGTCATTTTTCTATACAATATTCATATTTATGTTGGTATTTTATCGCCAGGTGTATAGTCAAGCGCGTTTGAAGAAGAAAAACATTTTCTGTATTAGCCCACAACGTATCAATGTGTGTGGTAAATTGAAATTGATTTGTTTCGATAAGACGGGTACCCTTACCGATGATGGTTTGACGATGGATGGCTGCCGTGAATGTAGAAATGGCGAATTTCGCACCAATGACACACAACCACCGAATGGTTTCGATGTAAAGTAAGCGGTCATTCGATAAAATCATTTTATTCTTAATGGATTGAACATCAAAATGATCGTTAAATAATTTTTTCCCTTCATTTTAGAACAAACATCATCCAGAACATGGCTACGTGTCATTCTCTGACAACAATTCATGGTACTCTCCAAGGTGATCCTCTTGACTTGGAAATGTTTCGTTCAATTAAATGGGAATACATCGAACCTGGTCATGAACATACTCGTTTCGATAATTTAGCACCGGCCATCGTTCGGCCGATCAGACTAAATCCACGAGCGCCAAGTACATCACCTATATCTGACGGTGAATTAGCTGACGTGCCATATTCCATTGGCATAATCAAGCAGCATCAATTCTCTTCGGAAGCTCAGTGCATGTCGGTAATTGTACGTGTATTGGGTGAAAAACACATGAAAGTATTTGCCAAAGGTGCACCGGAAAAAATTCACAGCCTATGCCAGCCAAAGACAATTCCAAAGGACTTTTACGAAGTACTCTATCGATACACGTCGAGAGGCTATCGTGTGATTGGATTAGCTCATAAGAAACTCTCATCGAAAATTAAATGGATGGAAATTGAACGCATGAAACGTTCCGACATTGAGACGAATTTAATATTTGATGGTTTCTTGATTTTATTGAATTGCCTGAAACCAGAAACCACTCATGTAATCGAAGAATTACATGCAGCCCAATTACGAACGGTTATGATTACCGGTGATAACATTATGACAGGTACGTATTGGGAAGTAGTTTATTCAGCAAGTAAATTTCCGTCAATGTTGATGCTCACAATTCGATTCTATTTCATCAAAGCTTTATCAGTTGCAAAGGATTGCAAAATGGTCAAGCCACATGAAGAAGTGTATATTGTAAAATGCGAAGGATACGGAGACGATAGACCTAAGTTGACCATCGAGCTGAGCCGAGACATTGGCGCCGTTGATGATACATCCAATAATGGAATAGAAGATATTGAGTTTAATTCGGTAAAGATTCTTTGTCGTATTTAAAGATCCATTTTAATTATTGAAAAAAGAGAGAAAAAAAACAAGTTTTGGGTCAATTTTTCAATCATAAAACGGTTATCATTATATTGCAATTTTATCTTCTTAAGCGCTCAACATTGCTCAACATATCCGCAGAGCAATACCATTTGGCATTAGACGGGACGACATGGAAAGCAATTCAAATGCATTATCCACACTTTATTCCGCATATTGTTGCAAGAGGTACAATATTTGCACGTTTTCGACCAGAACAAAAAAGCCAAATAGTCATATGCTTGAAACAGTTCGATTATGTTGTGGCCATGGTTGGCGACGGCGCCAATGATTGTGGTGCTCTTAAGGTGAGTTTCTCATAGACAGTCCAATATAGACCATCTGTCGAGTGTTGTTTCCATCTAAATTCATTCCTCAATTTTTTTTCGTAGGCTGCTCACATTGGGTGTTCCTTATCAAAGGCTGAGGCATCCGTAGCGGCTCCATTCACTTCAAGTGAAGAAAACATTTCATGCATAAAACACTTGGCACTTGAAGGTATTTTTCATTTATTTATATTTATACTTTGTTCAATTTATACATTAATTAATTATTTTATTATTGAAAAATATTATTTAGGTCGCTGCGCCTTAGTTACATCATTCGGTTTATTCAAATACATGATAATGTATTCGTTCATACAATTTATTGGTATCCTCATTTTGTACACGGTACGCATGCGGTTTCTCTTCTAAAAAAAAATCATTTTCGTTTATTGTTTATTACTAAAAATTTAAATTGCAATCGTTCATTTGTTCAAAATAGAATTCGTCGATCTTAGGTAATTTCCAATTTCTGTATGTCGATCTAATTATAACGGCAAGTTTAGCATTTTCCATGGGGCGACAAGGTAATATTAACTGTACTTTCTTATTATTAAATAAAGCAAGTAAATAATTTTTGACAATGATTTTTCTTTTTAATGATTTTTAATTTAAAGGGCCTGCTGAAAAATTGGGTACAAAACGACCTAGCAGCTCACTATTGTCATTAGCGAACGTAATTCCAATACTGATGCAAGTGCTTCTGTGTGCTGTTATTCAAGCAACGGCCGTCATTTATTTGTTTCAACAATCCTGGTATGTTTCGATGATTATTCGATGACATTTTCATTGAAAAATAAACTGTGGTCGCTCCTAAGTGCCATTCTTGGCTATATGGTCAGATTTAATATATCTCTCTTTCGTATGAAACATTTCAATTGAGTCAATTCAATTGATCAAATTCTTTGCATTGCAATTCTATGATATGCTGCAGGTTTCCAACCCAATTGCAAGGAAATGAATCCAATGACGATGACGATGAAAGAGTATTATGTTGGGAAAATACGATGATATTTTTGGTCAGCTGCTATCAATACTTAGCTTTAGGAGTTGTTTATTCCAAAGGTACTCTTATCTTACTCTACCAGCTCTCACAAAATAATAATTATAGCCTTCGAAATAATTAATTTCTATTAATAATTATTTCGTCTTTTCTTATAGGTTTACCTTATCGTCAACCGATATCAACGAACTGTAAATACTTTTTTTTCCTGAAAAACCATTTCGTCTTATGATAATGGCCTTAAATTGTTAAATCTCTTTATCCTCTAGGCTTGTTGCTGGTGTTTTTGACATTTTTGACTATATTCACCACAATGTTATTATTACGACCGTTCGCATTTTTATCGGATATTTTCGAAATCGAACCGTATTTAGCAACACAAAACGAAATCAATATCTTCCGATTCACAATTCTCGCCTTTCCATTAATACACCTGATGTTTGCCTATGGCATTGAGGTAACTATTACTAATCTATAAAGCTGTGCCGCTATCACAAGACAATTGATTTTCATACGAACATTTTTTGGTAGTTGTAGTTGATTTTTATTTAATGCATTTAGAATCTATCATAAATTTATCATTCACCAATCTCATTCGCTAAATTCAACTTAATAATTGATGAATCACTTGACCCTGATGACAAATGTTTTCTTCACCTTCTGTTTAATTCACAGCTTTTGATTGCCGAACGACCATGGTATAAGCAATTTATTCATTTCATAGTACGCAAGAAAGGCCCACGAAATAAATTCAAAAAAATCGAACAGAACTTACAGGCCAACAGCATATACGACTTGCAACGACATTTCGAATGTTGACCGATTTCAAGCATCGTCGAATTTTTAAATATGCCATTCAACAAATCGAAATCCGTGTTCAATTGTTTTTAACGCGATTTCATTTAAATGTACTCTTTTTTTATTTTTTTTTTAAATGTAAATTGTGTTCTTCTTCCTTCAATAAAGCAATTTGTAATATAATCGTTTTTAATTCCAATGAACATTGCATTTGAATTTATAATTCAATCAATGAATCAATGTGTAGATGGTTCAATTGAATTGACAACAACAATCGAAGTGGAACCGACCAAATGGTTTATAAACGATTTAATGTAAAAATGTCCCATTACAACTAGCTGTTTCAACACAGTGAACTGCAATATGGTAATATATTCAGCAAATCCAAAACGTTTCAGAGTTCAGTTTGCATTCCTTTTGTCCAGAGCATGTTTGAGCTGACGTCAGCAGCACTAACTAACGTCAACTGCTGATATCAGCTGCTGACGAGCATGCGTTGCGTTGTTTTAACGCATCTGCAGTACAAAAATCTGGATACCAAGTCAAATTTCAATGAAGAGAATATGATATTTGACTTGGTATCCAGAGAGGAATATGAATTTTGAACTGCAAATGCGTTAAAACAACGCAACGCATACTCGTCAGCAGCTGATATCAGCAGCTGACGTTAGTTAGTGCTGCTGACGTCAGCTCAGACACGCTCTGCCTTTGTCCCTATCAAGGGATCACTGACTTGAATCATGACTGACGTTTAAAATGTCATTTCTGACAAATGCCAATTCCAACATTTGGATAAACCCAACGTGTGCTTCTCTGCCATAAAAACCAATGTATTTGACGTGACAGTGAATAGCGATGGCGCCTCTTGTTCAACAGCGTATAGCACTGTACACTTTTTGTTGACAAATGGCGAAATTTGCCGTAGAGAGCGCGCTTTCTTATGGAAATTCCATTGGGGAACTGTTAGCGCCCTCTTGACGGTTTTTTTGATAACTAGTAGTGTTAGACGCTGTTGCTCTTGTTGTTGCGAAATTCGTGACAACAACAAAAAGTATTGATAGTTCTTAAAAATGCCGCAAATTGCTAATACATCTTATTTAGGCGCCACCGCTATCTTGCGCCGGCCAAAAGCGTAGGTTGGATAAACCTTATGACGAAAGCATTTACTTATACTTTCAAATTATACCGTATAGATGCCGTTAGAGCATTCATTGCTGAATGTTTTCCATTTACAGCGCAAGTTAATACCGATAATGATAACGATATTATAAAAATTAATTTGCACTCATATTGTATAATGCACAATATTGTGAATAAATTGCATATTGCACAATGTAGGAAATTGAATGACGAATTCAGGTAAAATGGCAAATTAGTGAAACGTTGATAATTGAAAATTATAATTAAATTTTAGAAATCGATTTGGTTGACTTTGAAATAATAATTGGATGGAACAATTGTAAATAAAATAATTTGATACGGAAAATTCAAGATCAAAAAATGTATAAATAACCTGTACAGCTTTGATTAAGTTAGTTCGGTTTGTAGAGAGATCAATAAAGCACATAGTGCATGAATCTAACTTTGCAGCTGTTCTCATTTATTTTGTTTGACTAAAAAAACATCTTGTCATTAACTCGCACTTTGTTGAACTGTTTCTTAACCGTAGTCGGGTAGTACTTGAAATGTGAAAATTGAAAATTCAATAAAGAAAAAAATGATGAAAAAAATACTATAATTGGTCTTTCATTTCACAAAAAAACTGCTCAAAATTGAAAAAAAAAGAACTTTGTTGAATTTTTTTTTAAAACCATTTGCATCAAAAATCCGATCACTTTGAATCGGTTCACTTAAAAACATTGAAATAACTAAAACGTCGATATTGTTCTGGAAAAAGTGTGATAAGTTGACCCAAACTTATTCAGAAAGAAAGTTAGATTGATCCGACAATTGTTGTTTTAAATCAATAATTCTACTGTATTAAATCTTCATTGAAAACGAAAAAAGTCGAGGAGAAATGGAGTCGATCAAAAAAAGATATATGCATATGTTATGTTGATATGCTCTTGATTTCTATATCAACCGACTCTACTTGATTGTACGCATGAAATGAGTAGATATGCAGCAGTTGGTTGTATGAATCAATTCAGCTGATTTCTCTGGAACTCTTAATATGAAAAATGAGTCATGATGACATTTAAAAAAAAAATATTTGATCTAATTAAGGCAAATTTTGTTTATTTTTTTTCGGCCAGATTATGTATTGCTAACGGGAGCAGATGACTCACAATTTTAAACGTCAAATGTGTTCTGCAGTTGATATTATTCTCGTCTGAGTTCATGTTATACATTACTTCTTCTACGAGTATTCGCTTGAACGTCGTGCAACTTATGGTCAAATTGTCAATTAAAAGTTATTGTGTCAACAGTTGATTAACATCGAATTAAAAAGAAAAACCGACTCAAAATTGGATTAAACATAAGTGGTTTCTTTTTTTTTTGGTGCAGCCTTAAGAGCCGCGGTTATCGTGTAATTAATCGATTGCATGTATCACATTTAGTATGCATAAAATGCGAAAACTGAACTAAAAAGATTGTTTTTGTGACCATCTGTTCGGCTTTTTTGTTTCCTCTTTCTGTACGGAGAGACAGAGACGTCCAAACATTATAAATCATTACGTAGCGCATTCTACAAAATTTCGCAATACTGACCAAATACAGTCAATAGCATAACGTATGTTTCAAGGTTGTGTCTAATAGTAAATTTCGAATCAACGACATACGGAATGGAGTGACGAAAAAAAAGCCGAATGATGATTTTAATGGTAATGCATCAATGATGGATATGTAGTCGATGACTGAACAGACTAACCGACGAACAGTTCGGCAAAATGTGTAAATTAAACGAATCATGCACCGTACATTTGACCGGAGAGTGAAATGAGACGAGAAAAAAAGTGTGTGTATGTAGCAACAACAGCAACAACAACAATAACAAATACACAGCCAGCCAGCCAGTCAGCCATCCAGTGAGAGAGAGAACACGGTACGAGTTGTGCCTTGCAGCACAATTCAACCAAATCCAATAGCATGAAAAATAAATAATATGGGGAAACGAGTAGTGCGTATGCGCCGTTGCTGTTAAACACCCAAGCACAGACATTTGACAGTGTCAACAACAAACAATAAGTACGATACCGTCGCGCAAAACGGTATTACGTACGAAGTCTCGAGCACTTGCTGTTTGTGTGGTGTTTCATACATATATTTCTCTTTTTTTGCTTCTCTTTATCGAATTTGCTCAATTCAGTGCAATTTGTTTCATCTAATTCGTTTGTTCATCACTCTTCGTCGCATTCATCTTTGAAATGGAAAGTGAAAACAGAAGTGAAAACCATTTGATTTTTTGGCAACATTAAACAGTTGAAAAATATATATAGGATTGGTTCATTGTCGCGCGACCGAACCGATTTCAAAGACGAGTAGTGTGTATGTGAGTGAGTTGAGGAAAATCGATATTCGTCCGTTTTGATATCGAATGAATTTTGCATGAGTTGGTGTAGTTTCTCTCTTTGTAACATTTGTTTTGGCGAAAATAACAGAAAAAAATGACGCATGTAACGAATGGTTGACAGAATTCAAAGGGAACATCGTCAACAACCATGACAACAGCAGGATATCTATAAATTAAGATATTTTGACCGATCCGAAAAAAAAAAACCGAACAGACAAACATTGAATTTCGACCGCAGAAAATGAAAAATTAGCAAAACACATTTTAATTAATGATAAATGGTTTTGTATCAACGACAACGACGAATGATGTGTTGTTTTGAGACACAGTGACCGAAAAATCACAGCCAAATTTATGATCGGATTGCATTTTTTCATTCATCTCCAGCGCAGAATATTTAGTGTGTGCATGCACTCTATCGAAATGACTTCCTTCACAGACAACGGCCAAAAATATTAGAAACGCTTCATGATATCTTTCACAATTTTTATTTGTGTATTTTGTTATTTCGTGTATTCCCTCGTGTAGTAACGGAACAATTTTTTTTTCCAGCTAACAATCCGTGAATGAAATTTGGTGTTTTTTCACCATTTTTCGTGTCATAAATTCAGCAAAAAGAAAAAAAAATATGATTCAGATCAAGTAAATGGTGTTGTAGCAGCAAAAGTGATGAACATATTCCGAAAACAAACGGTGAATCAAAAATCGAAATCGTGCATTTGCTAAAAGAAGATATTTTTTTGATACCCAAAATAGAAATTGAGATATATTTGAAGCAAAGATAACCTTAACATTTGGTGAAAACGTGTGCAATTCTTAAAAGGTCTGGTTCAGTTGAATTATGAAAGAAGTAGAAAAAACTGTCGGCGACAATTGCCACGAAAATTAAGGCAGCTGGAAAAAAACTGAAATTATTATTGCGAGAGAATTGCAAACACAATAATTCAACGGTGTATAGCAATCAATCAACAAACATGGAACGTAATAACAACAGTTCGAGTGCGAAAAACAAAAATTTGGTATGTTCAACCTCGAGGAACTGTGTTTTCTTTCTCGTACTTATATCACATTAAGATGACTTCAAAACGAAAACAGTTTTTGTTTTGACAACTTTTGTTTCAACGCGACGTATTATTTATTTATCAGCAATCAATAAGCACCAGTTGTTGTGTTTTGTTTTCATTTTCAATAGAATAGTAACTCGATCTGATGATAATGTTCACATGATATCAAATTGCAAGATATAAAACGATCGTTATTTTCGTATTCTTACATTTAAAAGTAAGTAATACTTATAAAGTGCATCTTACAATTCGTATAGCGCGCAACTTCTTCTATGTGTAAAAATCAATAGATGTGAAATAGTGTAACCTATAGCCATATATATACATATGTACAATTTTATATGACATGCATATAGAATATCTTGTAAAGTGTACACAACGTTGCCGCATTAATATACACCGTTTTGTATTTTATATGATTCCAATTAGAAAATACACACAGTCTTGCACAATGTATTTTTCTTCTTCTTTTATCGAGTTAAAAGACACGACGAAATTTGATAGTATATTGATGACGTTGACGTTGGCACAAGTGGTTTTATTCGTTAATAAATAAAACATTACGCCTCTTTGGTACGGCGCGACTTAACCAGCCAGCCAGCTTGTTTGTACAACAACGGCAATAGCAGCAGCAACAGCAAACCGCAACTAAATGTGCCGTGCCATGAACCATTTTTCGCATCACATTCGATGCTCATTCAACACATTGACTAGCTTCAGTGTTCTTCTTTTGATAGTAGACACATATCGCCCAGTTCTTACTTCATTCTCTTTCTACTAATGACTTTCATTTTTCGTCTTGATTTTTGATGGACTATTTTAATTGCTCACCTGTTCGTGTTTGGTTCTGATGAATGAGAAATTTACTTTTCGCACTTTTGTGTCATTTTGAATGGTGTTGACTTGTAAATACACGCCAAAAATTGGCCAATGAATTGTGCAAATTTTGTTGTTGTTGTTGCTTATGCGAATGCACAAAGGGCCCTCGAATGAAATCCGCTAGATTCGAATACGTGAGTGGAGCAAAAGTCAACTAATAAGCAATAATTAGCGGATGTGCAGAGAACAACACACAGAGTCGTATCTCACGCTGAACAACAAAATTGCTCTGGAATATACTCAATATGAACAGCGTTCAAACTGTGTATTGTTAAGATTCATCCGTTTGAGTTATTGTGATTTGATGCGGTATGAAAAATTAAATAAAAAAAGAGGAGAAAAAAATGATCGAAATGCTTAATGTTTTCCATAAATAAAGTCTTGAAATGCCTATATTTAGACGCAAAAATAACGACGAACATGTGGAGAAAAAAAATGATGCATTAGCTGAGTAAATACAAAAAGGATTACGTCATTAGCGCAATTCGGTTTAGTGCTTCTTTGATTCATAGCACTTGAATTCAATGTTTATTTTTACAATACTGGATAAAGAGCATATATATGAATCATTTCATAAATAACAACAAAAAACAACAACTGAACATCAACATGAAATCGAGTTGTGTACATGAAATTAAAGTGTATTCGAATTTATGTGTTTCGTTTTATAGTCGTAGATTTGAAATTAAGATATAATCAAATGGTATGGGTAGCAACGTGTTAGAAGTCATCAACGATGTGACCTTGTGTAATGAGCATCATTAACTGACACAAAAAAAAACGTTTTTTTCGTTCATATTTAATATTGTTTAAAGGTGAAGAATGAGTGTGTACAGGTGGTGGTGCGATGCCGTCCGATGAGCAAAAAAGAGCAGGCGAGTGGTGAATACAAGCAAATCGTAGATGTGTATCCAACACGTGGCGTCGTTGAAATCCAACATCCCAGCGATACAAACCGCGAGAATCGTAAAATGTTCACCTACGATGCGGTTTATGATAAAAAGTATGTGTACACTGAAAATCTCTCTCTCTCTCTCTCTCTCTCTCTCTCTCTCTTTCTTTCTTTCTTTCTTTCTTTCCCTCGGACGATTGAAACAGTGAATGTAATGTTTTTGCCATTTTTTTTCTTTCTGACAGCGCAACACAAAAGAGTTTATACGATGAAGTGGTGCGGCCTTTGGTATCATCGGTGCTTGAAGGTTTCAATTGCTGTGTGTTCGCCTACGGCCAAACGGGCACGGGAAAGACATTCACAATGGAAGGTATTCGATCGAAAAATACTCGAGCCACCGGCGTTGCCATCGATGACATCAGCCGAAATATCAATGGTGACAGTGGTAAAGAAATGGAAGGCATCATACCGCGGGCATTTGAACAAATCTGGTCGAATATCAATCGATTGGAAAATATGAACTTTTTAGTAGCCGTTTCATATTTGGAAATTTACATGGAAGAATTACGTGATTTATTGAAACCGAACAGCACAAAATCGCTGGAATTGCGTGAACACGAGCAAATGGGTGTTTATGTGCCGAATTTGCATTCGGTGCTGTGTAAGAACGTTGAAGAAATGCTAAATGTTATGGCTCAGGGAAATAAGAATCGCACTACGGGCAAAACCAATATGAACGAGCATAGTTCAAGGTCACATGCGATTTTCATGATAAAAATCGAAATGTGCGATTTGGATACGAACAAGGTGAAAGTGGGAAAATTGAATCTCATCGATTTGGCCGGCAGTGAACGGCAATCGAAAACCGGTGCCACCGCCGATCGACTGAAAGAAGCCAGTAAAATTAATCGTGCACTCTCATCGTTGGGAAATGTGATTTCAGCATTGGCCGAAAATTCACCACACATTCCATATCGAGACTCGAAACTGACACGATTGCTGCAGGATTCATTGGGCGGCAATTCAAAAACCATTATGATTGCCAATATTGGGCCATCGTCGTACAATTACAATGAAACGGTGACAACATTACGATATGCACAGCGAGCCAAAACCATCCAAAATAAACCCGTCAAAAATGAGGATCCACAGGATGCCAAACTGAAGGAATACCAACAAGAGATTGCTAAGTTGAGGGTAAGTCAGTTGCCACAAATACGACACGATCATCATTTGAAAAAAGCAAACAAACATGAGATCATTTTTCCATTTTATTTCACTTCGGCTTTTTTTTTACTGTCATTGATTGGTTCTCTTTTGATTTCATCCATTTTATCGAAAACAGCAAATGATAGCCGAACGTCAAAATCGTGAAAAGCCTACACCAAAGCGAAAAAAGAAGCAGACAATTATCGAGGTCATAGCGAAAAATGATTTAAACCAGTACGATGATGACGAGGAAGATGATAAGGATGATGATGAAAGTGACAATGAAAAGGACTTCATCAACGATGCAATGGCAGAAACAAATGAAGCATTAACGGTAAAGTCATTCATTTTCTACATGTATTTTATTTACTCTTGTCTCGTTTTCTTTTGTATTTTAATTAATCTTAATATGGACTTAAACTAAATTTGTCCCCTCTTGTATGATAAATCAGCGCGAGAAAGAGCTAACCAATAAGTTAACATCGAAATTAACGGAAATGGAAAGTCGACTGGTGCGCGGTGGTCGCAATATTTTGGATACATACAATGAACGACAGATTGAGCTGGAAAAGAAACTGAACGAAATTGCCGAACGAAAGAGACGTGAAGTTGAAATGCAACAACAGCTTGAAATGCAAGAAGAGACAACGATTGAAATCCGCGAAACTTTGACATCTGTTCAACAAGAAGTTGAACTCAAAACACGCAAATTGAAGAAATGTTACGCCAAATATATGGTAAGTTGTTATATTCAATTTTAAAAAATTTAGAGGCCGTTTATTACAAAACTGATGCAAAATTTAATAAAGCAGACTATTAGTTTAAATCTAACGGTATTTGTGGTTTTAAGGCCTTAAAACAGGAGCTAGTCGACACACGAGATGAGCACAACCGTGAAAGAAGAGAGCTTGAAATGTCACAGAATGATTTGATAAAGTGAGTAAAATAATTCCACTATAGAAAGAGAGGAAAAAACAGTTATCCAATGAAATTAATCCTGTCAGAGGTCGCCACATGCGCCAATTCGAGTTTAATTTTAGTAAACGACAATCATCATACAGATTTTACGTTGTTCCCCACACTAATGCATTGTCCAAACATCGTCTGTTTTTAGGGAACTAAAGCGAATTCTTCTGTTGATCGATAATTTTGTACCAATTGAAGTAAAAACTCGGCTGTACACACAAGCACGATACGACGAGGAGCTGGAAGAATGGACAAATAACTCGAATCGGTTAACAGAGAATACTCCACTGAGACGGCCCGTTTCACAGCCGCATCGCCGACGCCCAATATCAGAATTTGCACTGAAAATGATGCAGAAGAATGATGAGGATTCGGTCAATATTCGAGGTGAAAACATTCTAATGCACGAGCTAGATATGCCACTGAGAACTACAACGGACTACAAAAATCCAAAGATATCCGCGTCGCTTCAGGCAGTTTTGGCTGAAGCCTTACAGACGGACGATGATGTAGATATCTCTGGCCAGGTAAAATAATGTCCAGATAGAAATTCTACAATTTTGCTATTTTTATTTTGTTATTGAAATTTTTTTCGTTGAATTTTTTTCTTCAAATTTTCAGTAAACAGCATGGAAATCATTTTAATATGTACAACATTTTTAACACCAATTTAATGATATTTCAGACAAATCAGCAGATAATGCGATCACGTCTAGACAAGATACTGAATAGAAATGCACAGGAACCCATTCAAAATAATCGGTAAATTGAATTTAGTCAAAATTCCATCTCGTCATTTCGCCACAAAATACACACTTTTCATCAAAAATTATTTGTTCGCTTTGTTATTAATTCCAGGGTTCAATCCTCCTCTAGAATAAAATCGTCGAAGGATTTGGTGACAGCTCGTCGCAGTGTGTCATCCTCCCGAAAGCAGCCAACATCGGCATACCCAAAAGCCAGGGGACTTGTTACCAAATAATAATAGTCTGTATTTTCGCACAATTATGTAATTTATGTTCACAAGTGACTCGATAGTCACACATTTTCTCATCGTTATCGAAACAAACAAACAAGCAAAGTATTGAAAACACATCCAGTGAAATTGGCTTCTAACATAGCAAACTTTTTTTCATTGTATTTCTTCGTTTATTCTTTGTTTTGTGATATTCAATATGAATGTTAGTTTCGAGTAGAAGTTCGACACTTTTACCGAAAATGTGACGGTGGTAGGAAAAAAGGAAATTGGTTTTCTTCTGGAAAGAAGACTCAGTAACAAATCATCCTTTTTTTGGTCGCCAGTCCAACAGGAACTTATACAAACAGATTGTATTGAATTTAGATGAAATTAGTTCAAAATCTTTGGATTGAATGAGATACAAACAAAAGTAAATGAATTCAATCAAAGGCACACTCCATCAACTAAAGAGTGTTTCAATAGCGACGCACAAAAGTATTGATAAATAAAACAAACAAATTTAATTTTTTTTCCGAAATCTTTATTGTATATTGTAGTTTGGTCCTTGCCATTTATGTTTTGAACTGAGTATGGTCAGCTACGGTACTCGCAATAAACATATCTTTCACAGAACAGTAAAAAAAATGATCCAGTTTTGATAAATTTGAGGATTGAGTGACCAACCTACGCATTTTGCGCCCAAAATATATGACATTTCTGAAGCTCGATTCTGATTAAATTGTTTTTAACGATTTTTTAAAGTCATATAATTGTTGAATGGAGTTGTCTATACAATCAGTGCCCCTAGCTGTCATTTTAAAGTATAAAAATCAATAATTGTAACAACCATTTTTGCAAAATTGGCCAAAGTTGGCCATGATGGCCAAAAACGGCCAATTCTGCTCTGGTTGTTGGGGCGAACTTTTGGCTCAAGTTGAGATAAAAACTGTTAAAAATAAATAAAACGAGAAAAATTGAATTTCGAGAGGTAAAAAGCAAGATTCTCACATGACATTTTGATTTTTGGTAAATTCAAAAATGGACCTATTATCGTGGTTTGATTTCACAATTTTAACGCGTTGCTTTTTGAAATATCTCTTCATGGCACAAAATGGTAAAGACTGACGAATAATTTTGACGTATTAGTTTATTAGACAGATCGGGTAGCCTGTCATGATTTACGATAGGGTTACTTTTGTGCGTCGCTATTGAAACACCCTTTATTTAATCTGGATTAGCCAAATACCACATATTCATAATTTTCATATGCAAACAAACAAAAATGGAATCGAATCGATTTAATATTACCACTTATGCTTTACAGCCTTTTGTTTACAATTTACATGTTCGGTATTTTTTATTTACTTAAATGAAAAGTCAAATAAATTATTCAAGCCAGTCAAAAGATGATCAGCAAACATGAATGATCTGACAAAATTTATGATATCTTTGAATTCAATATTGCGCGGCAATATTATTCAGCAAACAATTGCAACAATGCTTTGACATTATACCACAAATTATGAATTACAAGAAAATATCAAATAAAATCGCTTATGAACGTGTCATCACATTATTCGTCATCGTTTTTTTATTTTTATTTTTTTGGTGACAAATTTCAGCGAATTCTCTAGGTAATCAGCGGAAATTGCGATAAAATTGTGAGTTTTAACACGAGGCTCGTGAATTAAATGAAATACATTCCATTTTTTTAAATTATATTTCGGCACGCTGTATTGAATCATCTCGACATTTATTGGAATAAAATCTGAATAACAACAGATTTTTGGAAACAATCAAATTATCTAGACTAATAACTTGTTTCCAAAACATCTTCACTGAAGAGTATATCTATGGGTGAGATTGTGAGTGGAGTATGTTTTTTCATTGATTTATATTTTTTGAAAAGGCGAGTATGTTTTCTGATGATTCTGTTGGCGTTAAAGTAGAGTATGTTGTAGTACCGTCTAGCCTCCGCGGTCTTCATGGTTTTCGCGCAACTGATAGGAGATAACAACATGGTGTCTTCGGCAAAGTTGTAGTACTCGAGGTCTTCTATAACTAAGCTGAAGACATTTATCTCTTATCTCTCATCATCTCTTTTTTGTTCTTATCATTTTTCGCGCTTTTCGCGGAACTGATAAGAGATAAGAGATAACTGTCTTCAGCTTAGTTATAGAGGACCTCACGTACTAAAACTTTGTCGAAGAGAACAAGTTGTTTACTTTTATTAGTTCCACGAAAACCGCAAAAAACCGTGACGACCCGCCAAAAATGAACATACTCGCCTTTAACAATTTTTGAGTCGAAAGAAACTTACTCTTCTCTTTCATAACAAAGTCAGTGAAACATACACTACCCTCAATCTCACCTATAGATATGTATAAAACTACTTCAGGTGTCTATTCTCAAAAATCTGTTGTTATTCAGATTTTATTCCAATAAATTATTAAATACGAATCAATGCAATAGAAGTTGAGATGACTCAATACAGCGTGCCGAAATATATTTTTTATCCGTATCTTAAATTTTTTAATAACATCATGCATTTAATATAAAATAAACATTAATACGAAATTAACAATTTTATTCTTTTAAAAGAGGTCAGTCAGCATGGAAAGCAATGAGTCATGCACACAATGTATAGTTATTTGTTACAAAGAAATGTCAAAGCAAACAAGACGAAACATACACTTGGTTGTTAAGTATCAATGGAGACGAACAAATGAATTTTCACTACAGATGTCGCAGTGTACAGTGAAAAAGTCATTGACTTTGGAAGGAAAATTGGAGCGTTTTGGCCCAAAAAGACCCACTTTTCATTTCAAAATGTTCATTTAAAAAATGCACTATGTCGGAAGATATGCGATAGCTGACGTCGAACTATTCAGGGAACGATTCCTGGGTGTGTTCAGATTCTATCAATTCGGGATAAAAAGTCTCTGAAATGGATTTAAGCGAAAAAAGTATTGACTTTGGAAGGAAACGTGGTGCGTTTTGGCACAAAAAGATCTACTTGATCGCGTTGCTTCTTCAAGATGTTCATGCATATAAAACTCATAATCACCGCGGAATCGCTGTCTGTTTGAAGAAGAAATGATTTTTGAATGCAAAAACATTGCGTAATATTTTTTTTCTAACCTGGGCTGGAATTCTTAGTCATTCCACCAAAATCGTTCGGAATTTTTTTTTCGTACATAAGACCATATTGGAGTGAAAGAGAGAGATTCCACTATTTTTCAGCGTCCCACCGGAATTATTCCGATAACTCAAGGAAGAGTGGATTGTGTGAGAAATAATTCCGGTGAGACGCTGAAAAATAGTGGAATCTCTCTCTTTCACTCCAATATGGTCTTATGTACGAAAAAAATAATTCCGAACGATTTTGGTGGAATGACTTAGAATACCGGCACTGGGGCCATCTGTGATTTTCAATATTCAAACCGTCTCTATATTCTCAGGAGTGCGTCCCAAAATATGTCAAATGAGTTTGACATCACAGATATTAATGGAAATGAGTATAGAATAGATTTTTTTCGTGAAAATAATCCAAAATAAGAATTTATTTTTTTAGACAAATTTTGTATGGAAGAAAATAAATTTTGTTCAAGATATCTTAACCCTCTAATGCATTAATTTTTCCCAGGGCTGGGAGTACTAGTATTTGGTTTATTTTTGGACATAGATAATTAAAAAAATATTCATAATCCTGGATTCTTCATGGTTTAGTCAGAAAATGCGATTGACATAAATCATAGAACAATAAAATCCATTGTTTAAAAGTGTCAAAAATGTGTCTAATTTAGAGTTCGAATAATTTATTTTGTCAAATTTTTGTTTTTGCACACATTTTTGTTTATAACTTTACAATTACACTACATAGACATATTGCCAAAGACAAAAATAAAGAGAGAACATTGACGAATAAAAATTTCCTTTAAAGCAATGTGATCCGATGTACGGTTTACGTTCTACAAGCGTTCAAATGTTGCCCGTCTAGAGGCGGTTGTATGCATTAGAGGGTTAATTTTGGTTTTTTGAAAAAAAAAACTTTTATTGTTTATTTCACCGTCTAATCACAGACTGAATAATATCATACAATTATTTGTGACAGAATTGATTACGCATGAACAGGCCTGAAAAAGAATCAAACCACGATTCGAAACGTCGGCACCATTCATTAAAGTAATTGGTTTAAAACAGAGACTGGATTGGCTTTTATTTTGATCTTTAATCAACAGTCGGTAGTCATCAATAATGGATTTGATTGTTCTCTGATTTATGTCTATCGCATTTCCTGACTAAACCATCAAGAATCTAGGATGATCAATATTTTTTCGTTATATATGGCCAAAAATTAACCAAGTAAGAGTACTCCCGGTGCTGAGAAAAATTCATGCAGTCGAGGGTTAATTTCCACTGATTCGTGATAAGGGGACAATCCCCACTGAATCTACTGGAAGCGTATACTGAAAATAACTGAGAAATTTATTCAAAAATCTCGTTGATACAGTATCAATGATACTAAAAAGCAATGAATTCCATTTTTCAGTCGTAATTTGCCTCTTCGGTTTTATTGCATTTTATTTTATGGTCACCCAAGTACTTTATCGCATGCAAAGGGAAATCAAACCGCAAATCCTTTTCATTTGACAATGACCCGAAAACTCTCACCAATCAAAATTGTTCTCATGCCGTTGAAAAGGATGTACCATGACATAATTTGCAAAGAGAATGAATGACTTTCTTTTCAATGAATGTGCTTTAATCAGTTGTGTTTGTTTTTCATGTTTCATGATAAGAAACATGTAAATTTGGAAATATGAAATTCATGTATGTTTTACTGTTGAATCAGTCGGCAAGCCAACAGCTCGTGAGCAATATACGTTTTGTGAGTCTTTTTTAATGAAAAAAATAAGTTGAATGACAATTTCCATGGATTGTCTTTTGAAATTCGAAAAAAAAATATTTATTGCCATGTTCCAAAAATATTCATTCGGTTTTGTTCCGGTTAAGCATGAAAATGTTATCTGTCTTAATGTGAGTCTATCATGTGTTGGCGTAGGACTGGTTGCTGTTTACTTTCAGTTATCATATCGTTCGTTAAATTTGGGTGACAGAAAAATTGTATGTCAACACATGTTGGTGTTTTTTTATATTCAAATTGCAAGTTTTTTTTTGCTTGGGCAGCATTGAGAATGAATGAAATTCTTTGTGCGAGCGTGCGCGCATGTGTGTATGAATAAAGCGCTATTTTTATTATTATACATGCGGGTTACGAAGCGAAAAACTGTTGCATCATAAATTTAAAGACTCTTTGCCTCTCCCCCGAAAAATCAAAAGTGAATCAACAAGCAAGCGATGAAACTACTAATTCGGATTAAAATTATAAACTGAAATGCACTAGATCAATATGGTGCTGGTGTGATATTTGCGAAATTATTGTTCGTAAACACATCGAATTGTGATAACCTTTTGAGCGCTGAGCAGCCAAACAACCAGACTATAACCATAGGGTGGCAGCATCAAGAAAATTTAAATTGTCGCGCTGTTTAGTTCGGAAAAAAATTCCGAAATTACATTGATTTGCCTATTGAAATTGAGGGCGCTCGCGTCGCTACAGTTGTCATTTAAGTTGTTTTCGGTCTTGTTGCCATCCGATGACTATAACTACAAAAACAGTATAAACATCTATTGGTGGAACGACAACGACGGCGATGACGACGACGACAAGGAATGAAAACGAAAACCCGACACACTAGAGTATGCGGCATAGATATATTTTCTATAAATTGAAATGTAATTGACAATCGGATAATGGTGATGAAATGATTTCAGGTTGTTGAACGCCTTTGCCATTTGAAAATCAAAACAACAAAATTATATGCTGAAAATAAATAGTAACACAATGAAAACGAAGAAGAAGAAAAAACAATTATCTGTGTATAGAATGTTGAGTTTTCATTCATTTTAGCTAGAAATAATTGTAAGTTATTTCGATTTGTTTCTGTCGTTCCTGAACTCATTGCCTTATCAATTGCACAAATAATTGTTGCATTTTAATGAGACACATACCCAAAACCCAAATGAATGCAATCAAGTTGTGGCTGCGGTTTTGATCGATTCACATGCTGTTTATCCACATCGTCTGCTCTTTTTATGTAATGCGTTTGCATTAAATTAAGGCGAAAGCCGTAGGTTAGTTTAGGAAGTGAAAATCAAAAGAGACGTCGCGATTTTTGTTACGAAAATAAATCCTATTTATGACCATGATGCATGAGCATGATGTGACTGTTCTTAGCGCCAACACACATAATTATTTGGTTCAGGATATAACAGGTTTGTAAACTTGAATACTCCCATCGAGTGTGAACACACAGAAAGTCGATTGGGTATGTTAGCGATATGTCTTGGCGACAATACATTAAACCACAGGTCAGTTTAAGAATCTACCACACAATATAAATATACTGTCCGTCCATATGAATTGCTGAGAGTATTCGTTGGACGTATTTTGTTAAATGCTAATCTTGGAAAAGTTATACGCAAAAATGACACTTCAAAATAATTGGTTCC